TATGGGGGTGCGGTACACGGGATCCAAGGAATACTTCATGCTCAGTTAATTCCCGTATAGCTTCTCCACAAGCTCTAAAACAGGTTTTCTTCTGCTTCCTTTCTTCCCCATGCAACTACGCCTGCTCCCCTCTCTGACCGCTATCTGTACTGACCTCATCTACCTGCACTCCAGAAGCCTTTGCTACAATTAAAGGCTATCAATTTGCACATTCCAATACGTGTAAAAGCTCTGATAAAGATTCACACAAATCTGTGCCTACTGTTTCCTATTTACTAATCAAGCCCTAAGCAGCACCTAGCAAAAAAGAAATACTAATTTTTACTGCCTGCTAGTGGTTGCGCTGAATCTTATCCTTCATCTTCTCTGGGCTTTGTAGAGCATCTGCCAGCTGAGCACCTGGTGCCAGATCAATTTTTTTTTCTTTCCCTTTAGCTCTTTACTTCACTTTTCCATTCTGTTATTCCATATAGTATCATATTCCTTCTTAATATTTCCCCTCTCCCCTCTTCCTGTTTACCTTGTTTCTTTTTTCCATATTCATTATTTCTTGCTAAAACTCAGCTCTCTGCTTGATAGATCACTGAGGTATTTAAAAAGAAAGAATGTCCTGACTGGCCAAGTACCACGGTCACGCAGCCTCACCAGGGGATTGTCCTCCTCTCCCTTCCTATCTTTTTGCTCCCTCCTTGCTTCCTCTTCCCACTTCCCTGGTTCTTCTATGTGGTCTCACTGCTCTACATTTCCCTGGTTGCAATTACTATGTCTCAGTTTCTCTTTTCTTCTTTTCCTCCATTCTCGTCCCTTCTTCCACCCCAACCCCCTTCATTTCCACGTAGCTACAGGCGTCACTGGCCTCATCTCTAAACCAGTTTAACCAGACCATACAGGAAATAAAACTGCTAGGTGAGTGTTTCCCAGACTAGCAGCCAGACCCTCTCTGATGTGTCTCTCCTGTCACAATAACTCACGCCAGAGATGATACCACAAGTGTATCCAGCATTCACAGAGTATCATTAAATACGGCAGCAGAAGCCCAGCTATGGCCCATGTTCTCCCCAGAGTGCTGTATAACACTGCAGCAACCGAGTTTCAGGCACACAGTCCTGACTAACATTTACCCTGCTTTGTTTTCAACCACTCACACAACAGGCACTGCCTGGGGAGACAAAGGAGACCCTCTATTTGTATACTTGTTCTCAGACTTTGGTACATGGAAGCTCCACCAGAGGTCCTGTAATTGCCACAACATGATGCTTGAACTATGAACTTGAAACTGTCTGGAGGGAAATCTGCTTAAGGCATGGTAGTATGGTTTTTGCTTTGACTAGCACTGGTATTTTCCTTAATAAGATTTTCATTGTTGATATGAAAACTTCACTTATAAAAACATTTTTATGATAAAAATACATCTGTCTGTTCCAAAAGGGACAGCTAGACCCAGAGGCCCCTTTCCCCAATTACTCTCTCTAGCAATTTCTTTTGAATTATAGACTGAGATACAATCATTTTTTCATGTAGTTCTTAGCTCCAAAGGATTCTACCTTCTTAATGTGACACTGCACACGCAATCTCTCAGTAACATGTTATTCCCAGCTATACTTCAACACTTAGGCTAGTTGATATCTGCATCCTTGTACTCCCTGATGTGCTCATCCCATCTCACCACTACACTTAAACTACTACTGGTAAACCACACAGACAGTGTTATGCTAGTGTGAGGTACAAATTGCAACCAGCATCATATCAGTGAAATACTTAGGTCATGATATCGAACCACTTGTGTGGTTCTCCTTGGGGCTACATGTTTGGATCCAATGCCAGATAAGCAGCAAAAGTAATCTCAACCCTTCTTGGAAGAGCCCTTCTAGTAAGTGATGAGGGCAGACTACCCCTTGAGTTATTAAATCTAATATTTGCAGAGCTTTTCTGAGGCCTGTGCAGTTTTGAAACTACAAGAAGCAGGCAGATGAGAGGCATTGAGGGCAGCTGATACTGA